TGCATAAGGGAGTTGTGCAATGCCAAACTGCCTAAAGTCTGTCATAATTTGTCTACTTTGTGTACTTGCCTTTCTAGTCTAACTTCCTTTCCACAGCTGTGGGTTAGAATTTGTACTTACTCTTGGGTAAACGAGAAAATAAGACTTGACACATTGAAAAAGGCAGAGCCTTTTTTTGTGTGTGTGCAGCCCGTGCCACCTGAAATCAGTGACCAGGTAATGCCTTCCAGGCAGTGTGAACTTCAGGAGGTGCACCCAGTGCTCCAGGGGGCCCTTGAGGGGACATCAGGCCTCTTTGAGGTCTGCATGAGCAGGTGCACTTTGTACATACTCAGAATATCTGGACTAGAAGAAGTAAACTGTGGGCAAAGGATGAAGATCCAGAGACCATTTATTGTCTTGCTGCTGTATGCTACTGATAATCAATGTTCATAGGGTCCCTGCTAGTACCAGGAGCAACTCATTCTGAACTACAGGGACTCCTGGGAGTTCACTGGTTTGACTGATGCCATTTTCTACTTGGCTTTAGAGAGAAGAAATTAAAGCCACAGTTGTGGTAAGAGGAGTGTCAAATGTTTGTAGGTGAAGAGGAAATGATTCTAAATGTTTTTGGCTTTTGTAATCACCAAAAAATAACAAATCATAATTTTTGTAAAAGAATCCTTTCAAAGTCTTGGTGAAACTGCTTGAGAAAAAAGAGATTTGAAATTTTAATGTGAACGTTCATCAGCTAAATATTTGTTTTAAATTTTGGAATAAGATGGAACCTGTGATGGTGAATCAGGCAAAGCAGAAATGAATAATGTCACTCAAACATCATGGACATGAAAGGCAATGCTAAACTCCAATGAAGTAATTCCTCTTCTAGTTCAGTCACAAATGGCCCTTTATTGCTGCTTTTTGGTCAAAGCACCTCTTTTAGACCATCCTCATTATCTAAGTGTTGTGATTTTCCTGGGGTATCTTTTCCCTATCATCTGCCTAATTCCATTTTAATGGCTTTAAATACATTTTTAAAACCTTACTACGATAGGTAGTATCGTAGATTGTAGTAAGTTTGTGGCAGTATGTCCCAGACAAAGTCTTCTTTGCCAATCTGCAAGGATCACACAATTTGTTTTTTCAACTTCAGTGTCTTTTTGCAGAGCATTTGTTGAATTGAGCATTCTCCTGAGTTCACTGCGATTAAAAGGTAGAACTCAGAGTATGTTTGACTCCTATCACTTAAAACAGCACCATTAATTGGTAATCTTGGGAAGTTAATTATTCTCATCTTTAGCACACAGTGGGATTACCCACAGTGATGCAGTGAAATGCTTCAATTTTTGATTTTTAAACCACTCCAGTTGCTATCACTTTTTTTTTTTTTTTTTTAAGAATTTAGAATTTACTGGGCTGAGTATTTACAAATTTCACAGAACATTTTGTTCTCTGATTTAAATCCTGCATACCAAGTGCCTGCCTGGGGCAAAGACAAAAAAAAAAAAAGTTAGCTTTGATACTCTAAAACTGGTTGAATAAATCCTGTGCAGCTGGCCTGCGTGAAATGTGCCCAGTGACAGCAAGCGGCAGCGAGGATTCAGAGGGATAGGGAGAGCTCTGTGCTGTCAGATGTTACAGTGTTTTATTGCTTTGCTGGGAATGGCAGGAATGTGTAGGTATCTCTACTGCTCAGTATAAGGGTGCAGAGTGGTTCCCTCAGGCATGTACGTGGACCAAACTGCTGCACAAGTGTGCAATGTTGCGTTCTGCATATGCTTGTACATGATCTGATGTTTTCCAACTTTGGAACTGTGGTTAAAGCCTTAAAGAGAATGTGTGAGTCTGCAGCAGCTGAGAATACATTTCCAGCACTGGAGGTTCCCATGTGGTTGTCTGTCTGTCCCATCCTTGGTGAGGAATTGTCTAACCTGTACTGTGGTGTTCGTCAAGGGAAATTCTTGGAGACTTGTTTAAATGTTCAAGCCAATGCAGTACAGGTTACACTTGTCTGTACTTGTGGGTGAGATGTCAGGGACTATTATGGATTGGAGAGTGTTTTTTCTGCCTGTGCTGTTCTCACTACCAGCTCTGTTCATCCAACTGTCTCTCATCACTTTGCTTCTCTTTGTAATATAACCCAGATGAGACATGGTCCTGAGAGAAAAGTGGCTTCAATCTGAATCTTGAAAAGTCAGGAATTAAAAGATGCATGGCTCAGGAAAATAAATTTTGGAATACAAAGTTTTGAAGGCTGTGACTCATTCACATGAGCAACTTGCAGCAAGGTCATGTTTTCCTCTGATAGTGCATCAACAGGAATTTGGAAGTCCTGCTTTTACTTGTGTGTTGTGAGCAGAATGCTTTTAGCCATGCTCTGCAGTGCCATCTCTGTGAATCCAGATCCATTCTCAGACTCCAGAGAGCTTCCAGGTTCTCCAGAAAGAAGCACAAGAGTAACTGCAATGATTGAGATCAGATTTACAGAACTGGCCTCTGGAGCTCAGAATAGCAGGACTCAGAAAAGAAGGAAACATAGAGGCTTTCATTAGTTCAGGTGTTTATCAGAAATATACTGAGAGGGACTTTAAAAAGAGATTTGTATGTATTGGATGGTAAACAAATTTCCAGCAAAATGAAAATGAGGTAAGAATAAAACTTGCCTTGGAGACAATTTGGCCAATAGTTTCTGACATGTTTGTTTGTTTGTTTGTTTGTTTTCTCTTCCTGTGTCATTTGTAGAGATCCTACATTGAAATTTTGCTCTGTCCTACAGGGCCCACTGGCTTGAGCAAGTGCATGACAATTCTTAGGATGCCTGTGCTGAAAGACTTCTCTTAATGGACCTTGATGGGGTTTGGTTTCATTTGTTCCAGAATGGGATTGCCCTTGTTGCTGTTGCTGCAGGCTCATGATCTGGACCCAACCCCAGGACTTGAGCAGGACTGAAGGACACATGGTAAGATTGTGTTACCTGTGCACAGGAGTATGGTGAAATCTGGGATATGTAGCTTGTGACTTTCACCTGTCTGGTCTGAAGCAAGGGACAGGAAGTTTCTGTATTGATGGAAGAGCAATGGAGAGCAAGGAGAGGAGGGGAAGAATCCTTAGGAAAACTAAAACCAGAAGAGAAGCAGCACTGAGAGTGAGCCAAAGCTTTTGGTTGTGTATGTGAGCATTACTCATATAACTTCAAGAGGGTACATGCTTTAACTGAGCATGTACCAGCTGAGGACTTGGCCCATAATGTCCTTTATAAAGCTCTGGTTCCTCCCCAAATAGTTTTTCCCTTCCTCTTCAAAGGGCACCTGTTGTTGGTGGAGTTGGTGATGATACTGGATTAGTGCACATGCAGTCAGCCTGCTTGGCCTCGGCCCTTTGGACCCAAAATGAACTCCAGCTGCTGCTGCCCAGAGCAGGTGCTTCATCCAGCCTGAGCAGCTGTTTGAATGCACACTGTCATGGCCAAGAGGAGGGGGGAGGTCCCCTGGAGGACCCAGAGGAACGACTGAGGAAGGAACAGGGAAGTGTACCATGGAGACCTGGTTTTTATACCCAGCAGGCAAAAGTTGTTCTAGCATGTCCTTGTGGAAATAGGGAACAGTGGCTGTCACTCTGCATCCACTGGGCCTGCCCAGTATCATGATGGATTATGGTTCCCAAAAAGAGGCTGAGGGACCACTTAAGACCAGCAGGACTGGTTGTAGTCACTGGTTTAAAGCTCCAGTGAGTGGTCCAGCAAAAGTGAGATTGAGCATAGAACAGCGCACAGACTAATGGCCTGCTACCTGTGATAGCTTGGGCTTCACACTCACACTGCTAGAAGGAGGAAAACAAGAGCAGAGTTAATCTAGGGTGTGAAGCAACTACAGGGAACAGTGCCAGGGAATAGAGAAGGAGGGGATGACCTGGGGGTATATGGAGATGTGATGGCTGGGAGTTTGAGGTCAGAGTTTGAGCACAGGGCACAGATAGTTTGCGTCAGAGATAAAGCAGCAGCAGCCCATGATTAGAGTGACAGGGACAGGACAAGGATGCAGGTTTTTTGGAGTAAAGGAATCACAACCTTCAAAGGGATGAGGGCAGCTTGGAGTAAGGTTAACCGAGACCTACAGCAAGAGGTAGTACCTTGCAGAGCAGGGAGTCTCACAGGATGAGAAGCTGTTCAGAGTGATTTCCATCACTGGCATCACAAACAGCCCTTTCCAAGTCCCTTACAGCATTCCTTCAATTTATTCCCCTTCAACTCTTGTCACTGACCTAGTGGTTCCCATGCAGTCCTTCACTCTCAGATTATTCCCATGCTGTTAGCAACAGTGCTCCTGGCCTCCCTTTCCAGGAGCATGCACTCTGGTTGTGTCTGCATATGTCACTGTTGGCATTTACACTAAGTTTAATGTGACTCCTCAAGTCCCCTCCTCTTACCTGTATTCATTAAAGTTAACAGAGTCCTTCCACTTCCTCTGATAGGCTCACTTTGTGTCCTGTCCTGTGGGTGATTTTTGTCATATCCCATCAGCCAGACTTTTCATTCTGTGCATCTTTGCTGATTGCTCAACCAGGTTTCCACTGAACCTCCATAAGGAGGGGTAAATGCTAAGCAAGGATACTTCATTGTACAGCTGTAAAAGGATTATTCAGGCCAGATTTCATTACAGCATAGCCTAAGAGTAGGAGAAAACATGAATATCAGAGGCCTCTCTTTGTCAGGAAATGGGATTTCCGCAGGTGCTTGGTTGTAAATGCTTTGCATGCTTCTAAGGCTTGGCACATGGCATTGCTGAATCCTGATTCAGGATGCAAGAATGTCTCATGACCCCTGCCATGAAAACTGGTGTCTGGCCATGTTTGGAAATCAGCCGTCGATGATGACAGTAGATGAGTATGGGTGAAATGAGCAGCTTGGCTTCCACACTAAGCAAGACTTGTTAAACATTGTAAATACAGATGTCCAATTCATATTTTGAATAATAAATATTATGAACTTTTCTGTAGCAAGTGCTAAGAAGCTGGATCATCTTTCTTCATCTGCTCACTGCCTTCACAGAATTTGCAAGTGTGACAAAGTATTTCATCCCTTTACAGGATTAGGTAAGATTGGTGGCCATAATTCATGGGTACAGTTGCATAGATATAGTCTAGATAGCCAAATATATTGACTTAAAGTTGCCTATGTTGTGGCAGGGAAATTGTTTCCATTTTGGTTTATTTGTTTCTTGGATTGGTCAGGTTATGCAGATGACTTCAATTGTTTATTCTTTTGGATGAAAATCTGCAGCTGTACAGGCCTGTACAGTTTCTGTCCCAGTGTAGCTCTTCCATCAGGTATTTCTGCTATTTGGTTTGCTTCTACATGAAAATTAAGGAATTGGAAAAATAGTATCAGAAATTCTACATGAATGAAATTCTCAATGCTGTTAAGGAGAGAGATGTGTTAGGAGTAGGTTGTTTCTGTTTTCATTCTATTCTTACATCCTTTGGACAAGCCACTGTTACTATGGGGAAAGAAACAGCACACACTATTACCAGTGTGTGGTGTAGCTCTGTGCCAGGGGAGATGTCCTCTGACGCTGCTGTGGATGTAGCAGCAATAGTTCTGGGCTGTCTCCTTACCTGTCTGATAGCGTGGCTGGCTGATAGCCACACCCACTGATCACCTGTCAGCTGCTGCTGCCCTGCCGCCTTCCTCTGCACTTCTCTTCCTCAGCTTCCTTGAGCTCAAGATGAATGAAAGTGCAGCTTTTCAAATCTTGGTGGAGTAGTGAATTCTTGCTAAAAACCAAACCAAATGCCATTTTCAGAGTGGCCCTGTATTTAAGTGTGGCAGCACATTTAATTTGGTATTCCAGAGGTTTTTAACAACCTACATGTAGATAGGAATTTTTTGAAGCATGTCTTTTGCTGATTTAAATGTAATTTGGTACCAAGGATTTAAACCATCCTAAAGGATGTGTGGCAATGCCCAGTGTCCTGTCTGGTGAGGAACAACTGAGTGATATAGTTTGAGTGTGGTGTAGATAATTTACTAACTGCTGGATTAAGACTGAGGAAGTAAAGAGCTTGTTAGCAGGCCTCCACATTTAGGGGATCTGGAGAGCAAAGAGGTTTACTTTATATGAGGCCCATGTTATGCTGTGCAGGAATTCCCAGTTCAGGGTCAAAAATACTGAGAGTGCCCTTTCACCAGAGAGCCGACAATGATCTTGCTGCCAGTAGGAAAAACAGCCTTTACGTGGTGAGTGAACAGGGTGTCAGCAATGGACCTGGAGAGAGGGGCAGCACACAGTCAGAGCCAGTGACATTCTTCACACCTGCTGTGGGGCATAACAGTAGCTGGCTGCCTCAGCCCGTGGCACTACAAGCAGAGCATTGTGCTGTGACACAGCCTGGACAGCGATTGAATTACACACCGATTAGGTCTTCGCCTTCTCCCTGTCACTGTGGACAATGGAGAATCAGAGAAGTGGACATGAGAGCTTTAGCAGGCCTTGTGCTCTCCAGCAGAGGAGGATTAGTTTGTAAATGGTAAATTGTGTTGGGGCCAAGAGTCGTAAAACTGAACTCTTGCCCTGCTGCTGCCTCAAAGGCACAGGCTCTGCAGAAAACCCCTTCTCCCCCCTTCTGCTAAATCTGTGATCAGGGGAGGGGTTGGCATGTGGTGGAATCTGCTCCTCCTTTCCTCTGCCAAAGAAGGAAGAAGAAACTGGTACATTGTTACAAATTCTGCTCCTCATCATCTCTTACTATCTTTTCTAAGGAAGAGCATGGGATTAAATTAATCAGTCTTCTGCCATTTCCACAGGATGCGGACTTGCCTCTCCCCGAGGTGCTGCTGGCTGGGTCACTGCCTGCTGGAGGGTGTCTCTAAGACCTGACTTAACCTGAAGCATGCACTTCTTCAGGAGGTCTGCAGCAGGGCTGGAGGACTGCAAACATTGCATCCCTTCCCTCCTGTCAGCTGCTGCCACATGACTGCAGTGCCTGTGCTGTGCTCTCAGCTCCCTCACCCTGAAATGTCCCTCCTGGTGGTTTGTTAGGAGGTGCCATGGAGCAGGCTTTGCTTTTGGTAGCAGTATCCCTTGTTACTATGTCATTCATGAAGAAGATGGGCTTATCCTTGCCTTTATTCCACTGGGACCAGCTGCTCTACCCACAGGCACCAAAAGTGGCAAATCTTCCATAACCTTTTTTAATTTTCAATTGAAGCTCTACATCACCTCACATGAACTTCTTGGGGTTTTTTGAGAGGTAAAGACATTTTTTCTTTATTTTTTTTAAGAAACAACACCAAATAAAAACCCAAACACCACAGCCCAACAAACCCAAAACTAACAGAAAAAAACATCAAAACCCACACATTGAACCCAAGTTGGAGAAACAACTGCATTGTGTGACTGATACAGTCCATGGGAGTACAAAGCATTCCAGTCTGATCTTGCACATCCACTCCCTGTACCTATTAATAGCTTTTAGGCATGGGCATAGACATGGAGATGGGCAAGAGTAGTTTGTCATGCAAACATTAATCTGGGATCCATTTTCTAGAACTAAAGATTTCAGTGTGATAAAATGGATATTTTAAAGCATTGGGGGAGATAAGAGGGGATGTAACTGCCCTTAAACTGAGGTTGGATTAGGCAGTCTCACATCTTGGAGTCTGCCAGTAAATAGCCAAGTTTATGAGCAATGGAAATATGTCCTTCTTAATCTGTAAAAAGAAAAGGACTGTTTTGAAAATCTATCAATCTTTCAAATCATCTTAAGGCATATTGATGCTGAATCATCACAGGGGAATTCAACAGGGGTGTTCTTATTGGTGATCTAAAAATACAAATGTGGTTGAATACGTGCAAAACTGTATCTTATTCCAGTTGTCTTTATTACTGCAATAAATGATACCAACTCTCTCTTCCTACAGACTTTATCTCATCTGTTTCTAGTGCTGGCATTTATTTTGTTTTGAGCTGAGAAACAATGTGTGCCTAGATACTGTAAGGTTGTAGAGGCTTTATGAACATACCATTTAAAAGGAATTGTTTCTGCTCTGGTTACTAGTTTGAACTGAGAAAAGATACTCATATTTCATACTCCTGAAAGAAATAGTAGACTTGCTGTCTACTATACAGCAGTTCTGATTAATCTGCTCATAAATGATCCATTCCAGATCCAGAAAACTCCCAAATCTCTCCCACCTATTTTCTCTAATAGGCGGCAAATCCTTAGTAGCTCTCAAAAATGCTCACAAGTCTGCAGGGTGTGAAGGCTTTGCTTTGGTTTATTTTTTGTAAAACTTGGTAAAAAAATATGAATGAGAAATTTAGCTGTTGTTCAACATAGTCAGTATTGATAACTGAGAGTTCATTTTCAAAACTGGAAAATAACAGCTATTCCAAGTAGTCACTGTTGGTTTTACTGCTATGGAGTTTTTCAGAGGTAAGTTTTAAAACAAAAATGGAAAACCAGTCATTCACGAGTGCTGATACAGGAATGACAGAGGTTAATACCACTGACATCATGTTGGAACTGTATAGCATTTTGTTAATGGTTATTAATGCCCTGCTGCTGCTGGGAGACAGACAGTGCCAGCTGCCATTGGTGTGGTGCCTCTGCGGGTGTGCCTGGGCCTCTGCTCAGGAAGGAGAGGGCCCTGAGGAAGGCTCAAATCTGCTCCCTCCACTGAAACAGGAGGAGAGGAGACACTGAGAGAAGGCACTTGCAGTGTCTTGCTCAGAACAGGGCTTGGAGAGTGAAGCAGGAGCAGCAGACACCTCTGGAGCCACATCCAGGAGGTACTGAGGGCTTCTGTTCAATTCAGATCACCAGGACTAAACTCAAACACACATCCTTTGGAAGAAACCAGCAATAGATTCAGATAAACATGCAAGGAAATGATGCCAGTAAGCCTGGGGAAGAAGCCTAGGTTCATGTAAGAGAACTCAGAGCTTTGTACATCAGTGGAAAAGAGTCAGAAATGCTATAGACTGAAGGAGAAAAGCCCTTGAGAGGAAGGGAAAGGAACTTTGTAATGGCAGAATGATGATGGATATGGAACAATTAATTAGCTTTGACTACATCATATTCATTGTACACCTAGATTTGTGGGTTTAGCTGCCTCACTTGGGGCTGGCTATTACTTTGTGTAATACCTTTGAATTTCATCCACCATAAGGGAATGAAACAGATACAGAAAAGTGCAGTATGTCAGTGTAGCATATCAAATTGAGTCAGGCGTTTTTAGCAGTCTATACTGAACAGAGGTTTAAGCCTGCATTAGATTATTCCATAAGTGTATTGTTGTTATGACAAACCTGAAATGAGCTAAAAGCATTTCAGTAGATCAAAAAAGGAAACTTTAATTTTCTTTCCCACAGCCTGGACCCAAAATGGGATTGCCAGCCAGTCTTACGTGGCCTGGTTGTGTACTACACAATCACCCCCTGGTGAATGGGAGAAGAACGCCTGGAGATGGGTTGTGAGTCCTGAGTACCTGGCTCATCAGCTTTCCAAATTGTTCAGCTTCTAGATCTCTTTAAATGCTGGTGCGGTGTAATCTGAATAATGCACTGTGAGGGTTTAGCCAAGAAATGCCTGAAGGCCAAAGGACATTTTGATGATGACTGCTATCTGATGTACCAAACAGACTGTTGTACTCTCTTTCATGCTAATTAAAAACTTGTATATCACTGCTTATGTCTTCTAAAAGGGAAAATGTGAGTTTTATCCCATGAACCTCAGGTTTGGGCACATAATTTAATTTAAAACCCCATTAATTTTGCACATCCATTAATTATTAGAAATAAATGGAAACATCCATGCAATATTGTACATGTAGTCCCCAGTTATGCAGCCTAATATTCAAACACAATGATTTGTACAGACTTTATTTTCTCTGGTCACTTTTACAAATAGAGTTGTTCATACAAATAGTTTGCAATCAGTTTCCCTCAGTGCAAAGTGTGAGCAGCAGGAGCAGCAAGTCAAGGGGAGCAGTTTTTCTCCTCTGCATGGCATTGCGTCATCATTACTGCAGGTAAATTGTTTGTCTGGTTTTAAGGATTTTCTTTAATATTTTTTCTTTTTTCTTTTCTTTAGCCACCTAAAATGGTTCATGTTCCTCTTTCCAGTAGATCAGACTTCTATAATTACTACAAAAAATTTGCAAGGAAAAAAGAATGTGTAACCAAACACACTGACTATTTTGAAGAGCTTCAAATTGAAAGTAACATCGGAATTCTGTATTTTTTCAAGAAAATATACTCCTACTCATTAACTTCTAATCTTTGATTATTCTTTCACTTTGTTGGTAGATAATATTTAGAAGAATTTTGAATGGCTGGGACTCAAGCTTGACTTTTCATTTGCATTTCAAACTGGAGCAAATCAAACAATCCAGGATGAAGCTTGAATAAGCCTCTACTCACTCCAGTCAGTCTGGGATAGCCCTTACAATCTAATGTATGTCTAGGCTTTGACTCTTGAAATTTTTCTTCTGGGGGTGAAGAAAGAGGAGAATTTGTCTATAATTTACAGTTAACGGAGTCTATAATTAATAATTAACAGAGCAGGAATGAGCCTCTGGAAGGTGCTTTTATATTAAAGTAATAAACAATCAATACAAGGTCATTTCTGAAGGATAAAGTGGCAGTTTGGCTTGGGTGGGGTTTTTTTGGTGGGTTTGGGTTTCTTTGCATATAAGGAAATATGGTAACTGGTGCCTCTTATTATGCCTACAATGTAACTGACTCTGGAAGCTTGATTTATTGTTTTGGATTTGTAGCTGGTGAAAAGGAAGTTAAAAATAATTTTCAAAACCTGATCTCTAAAGATCTTGCAGAAAAACAGTCAGGTATGTTCCAATGCACCAAAATTTGGGTCTTCTTCTGGGTGTTGTATTATGAGTCTATTTAAAATACTTCACCTCTTTAAGGTTTTGACTATGTTGGCATTTCCATATAGTTGCCAGAGTGGTGCCTGTCTGCAAATTAATCTTCCTGTATTTGTTTAAACATGAAGTGCTTGTCTGGAAACCTGTGTGGAATGGTTGAATGTGCCATGGGCTGGTTCTTGGTGTGTATGACTGCTATGTACAGGACCATACATTGAGCTATTTCTGGCTGCGTTTTGGGGGGTTTGACCTGAATTCTGAGGCTGTTTATTGACCCTAATATGTGTGTGTTTTCTTCCTTCATGGAAAGAGAATAGGACTTTTGAACTGGTCAAGACAACAGAAACAATGAAAGATTTCCTTGTGATGTATTATATCACTGGTATTCTCACTGTTGATAAAAGTAACTCCCTAACCTGAAATCATGTGTGCCACGTTACCTTCACTGGCATTGTGAGAGCAGCAGCAAAAGGTTCACCTAATTATTAACTGGACTTTTATGGGTAAAGTAAGTACCTTTCTCCTAGAAAGAAGTAGTATCCTACCTGTCTTCCCTCAAGCAACAGCAAGAGTTTTAGAATCCCAGAATGACCTGGGTTGGAGGGACATTAAAGATCATCTCATTCCATCCCCTCTGCTGTGAGCAGGGGGGGACACCTTCCACTAGACCAAGGTTGCTTGGAGCCCCATCTCCAGCCTGGCCTTGAACACTTCCATGGATGGGCCATCCACGCTTCTCTGGGCAACCTGTACCAGTGTCTCATCATTCTCACAGTAAAGCATTTCTTATTATCTAATCTAAAGCTATATTCTTTCATTTTAATACCATTCTTCCCGTGCCCTTATGAAAAGTCCCTTCCCAGGTCTTGTAAGCCCCCTTTAGGTACTGGAAGATGCTATAAGGTCTCCTCAGAACCTTCTCTTCTCCAGGCTGAACAGCCCCAACTCTCTCAGCCTGGCAAATTTCTTTAGTATTTGAAAAATGCTCAAGAGAACTTGTTTTTCTGCCTTTCTTCCCCTCCTCCTTATGAAATGGAAGGACTTGCACTTCTGTTACTTCATGGGAGATACATTAATTCATCATAGGCTTTTCTATATGAACAGATTTATGGAGTTGTGTTGCCAAATGGATAATACCAGAGGAAGGTGTAAAAGCATAAGGGAAACATGAAATTGAATGTCTTAATTAAAGGTGCAAACTGCAGATGTGAGCAAACTGTAAAGCTATTCAAACTGTGAAGGAAATGAGGGGAACTGATTTCATTGGGAGCTGAAGATATTAAATATACACCTAGAGTAGAAAGGATGCTGGCAAACACTGGGGATGAGGTTTGGCTGCTGGGGAACCATGTGATGCTCCAAAGTTGGTTTTTCTTGGGGGCACAGTGTAGAGTTGAATGGACTTATAAATATCAGCACTTCAGTCATGCACCTCAAAAGAATATCTCTTCACCCTGAGATTAAAAGGGAGAAAGTTGAAGAACTTAGTTCAAGTGCTCAAGTATCTGGAAACAGCCAAGTGAATGAGACTTGTCTTGCAAAAAGAATGGTGTAGAAAGTCAGTGTTGTAGGCTATCATAAGCATCTGTCTCTGAATCTGCATGTATGCCATCATGAAATTGCAGAACAGGGTTCATAAGAACAGTCTAAGATTTTGGTTAGTAAGGCTGAAGGTTGAGGGCAGCTCCTTGTCTTTAGAGACTGCTTTCTTTTTAAAAACTGAGGGCTTAGTTTCCCCTGCCACAACCCTGTGGCGATTGGCAGCACCTCAGCCTGATCTATGAACTTAAAACACATTTGATCTATATGCTGGTGCTCACTGCCAGGTCCTGCCACTCCACCTGAATAACTATAACATGCTCATAAATCAGGATAGAGCATTCCTCGCTGACACCATCCCAAATGCCCTACTGAGCTGAAGCCTGTGTTAGCCATCAATGCCTCTTACATAAACATGTCATACTTTAAAGAAGGGTCTTGCAAAAAGCACAAACAATATGCTGGTATGGAGAGGCCACACAAAGTCA